ACGTACATGTCCAGCCGGCCCACCCCCATCTTCTGGAAGAGCACGGTGGGCTCGGCGCGGGGGCCGCCGTCGCGGGCCAGCAGGTTGGGCCGGATGCCCAACTTGTCCAGGTAGTGCAGGGTCAGCGCGGCCTCGTCGCAGCTCTTGAGCACCCGCGAGTCGCCCTCGATGTCCTTCAGCTTCTCGCAGGCGTTGAGGAAGACGACGCCCAGCTCGGGCGAGATCAGGTTCTTGGCCCAGTCGCCGTTGCCCTGCGAGCTCTGGGACGGGTCCTCCTCCAGCTCGGCCAGCTTCCTCTGCAGCAGGCTGTTGATGCCGGGCAGGCTGTCCGTGCCCGCGTGCGTCACCAGGATGGAGTCGATGCGGTCCAGGTGCCGCACCAGCTTCCAGAAGGAGGATTTGGGGTTGGAGCCGCCGTTGACCAGGACGTTGAAGCCGTTGACGGCGAAGAAAGCCGAGTCGCCTCTCCCGCCCGGGAAGATGTAGCAGCAGGGCTTGGAGAGCTTCAGGAATCCCACCATGGTGGGGGGCTCCAGGAGGTCGAAGGGGGACTGGGGTTCCAGGGACTCCGACAGGTACTCCATGAACTCCTCCAGCCCCTCCATCTCCGGCAGCACGCAGCCGGGGTTGTAGCGCAGCTCGATGAAGTCCTGCAGGTTGTGGTGCTCCAAGCCCGAGTCCCTCCACTCCCCGAAATCCGGGCAGCTGATGGTCAGCCTGGCCTTGGCCGAGGGGTCCGCAGAGCTCAGGATCTCCCCCACCTGCGCAGAGGGGCGGCTTCGGGTGGGAGGGGGCACCGGGGTCACCCCCTGTCCCCCCACCGGGACGGACCCGTGGGGGTGGGAGGTGTCCAGGAACACGTGAGATGGTTGGATCCACACCTGCTGCCTGCTTTTTTGGGGGGTTTTGGAGCCTCCTCTGTTGCTGGGCAGGGTCCTGGGGGGCTCGCAAAAGGGGGAGCTTTCCCTGACCCCCCCCACACCTCGGCTGTGACCCCCTGGCAGGTGAGGATCTGCCCCTCTAAATTATCAGAATCTGCACCCCGAAATTCTCAGGATCTGCATCCCAAAAATCCCGGAATCTGCACCCCGAAATCCCCAGGATCTGCATCCCAAAAATCCCGGAATCTGCACCCCAAAATCCCCAGGATCTGCATCCCAAAAATCCCGGAATCTGAACCCCAAAATCCTCAGGATCTGTACTCCTAAACCCCCAGGATCTGCCCCCCCAAACCCCCAGGATCTTCCCCCCTAAATTCCCAGGATCTGCCCCTTTCCCTGCCCTTCAAACCACCAGGATCTTCCCCCCCAACAACCCCAGGATTTGCACTCCCAGATGCCCAGCATCCACCCCCTAAACCCCCAGGACCTTCCCCCCTAAACCTCCAGGACCTTCCCCCCTAAACCCCCGGGATCTGCCCCCCTAAACCTCCAG